CCCACCATGGAGTTGATTGCCAGTCTCATCATGGGGAATAACTACCACCAGCTGCCCAGCCACTCAACCAGGCCCAACCAAGTTGACATACAACTGTAACTACCACAACTATCAACCTAAAAGATAAGAAAGGAGTTAAAGTGGTACCCAAAAAGAGAGCAGGAGGTGCCCTGGACAACCTAGACCAACCTTACAACTTCACTCTGAGCAGGTCACATTGCTGGGGCTTAAGTAGGTGCAGCACATCAGTAGAAAGTTCTCACCCAGGTAATCTCATTAGCGCAGTGACCTGCCATGGAAGCACGGTGTGAGCATAGCCAAGGTCACAGAGTTCATCTTTCTGTGGGTTACCTGGCTATGTTCCATCCACAGCCTGGGTAAGTCTAGCAAATTCTCTCAAAGTGTTGCATCCAACCCAGACGGTTATAAGCACAAGAATACAGAATGATGAGAGCAAATCCACTGTCACACCTGGAAAAGCAGCCAAATCCATGTTTTCCATACATAGAGCCTCTTTCTCTCACTGATGGCCACCACTTACTATACTGGGTTCATCAAACCTTGAATTGAGTAAAAAAGTGATGACACTAATTATGATGATTAATGAAGGGCACAAGTCCACAGATTTTTTTGCCGAATCAGAATTTTTTCCATTTATCACCTGGGTTCAAGCTCTGGAGTTGCTGATTTTCAGATTCATGTTAAAGGCCCAATACTGCATTCCTAACTTTTGACTGACTTTCTTAAAATTTCTGTGTTCTATTTGGAGATATTTAATCACCAAATTTTTATTGAAATGTGACCTTTCTTCTCTACCCACTGGTATGGAGCATTTATATTTCTCTTATAACTGCAGGAATTTTAGCTCCTGAATGGTACAATTCTAATTTTAAATTGCCTTTTTTTCTCTCTATAAAATGAACAGCTGAACACATTTTGTTCTCATCCTGTGAAATATATGTTCCAAAATAACGGAGCTTTCATTTTCAACTTTTCTCTTTTAAATCCCTTTATTTGTACTCTATATTACTGAAATGGCAAAATGTCATGATAGCTTTATATTCTAAACCTTAAAAAATCAGATTAAATGTGTTATAACAAGAACTATTTGGTGTGATAAGAATCAAATTTCTTATATTAGCCATACCTAATCATGAAAACTGTGGCCCATTTATCACTCAAAATGTTCATTTATAATGCTAGTAATTTAAATAATTTAAAATAATGAGGAAAAAGTTCTTAACTATGTGATAAAGTCTATGAACAACAAAAACATACTTCTTTCCATGTGTTATTTTAAACTAAATCCCTAAAGAAAAATAAATAAAGCAGAAATTTCATGTGAAACAGTCTAAGAAATTTGACATCAAAACATGATAAAATGCATACAGCCATCCATTTTACCTTTAATTATACACAGGTCTCTGGGGATCTGAAGAGCATTTTTTCTTGACCTCATTTCCACCTCTCATTTCTCTTCTCTTGTATCTCTGTTAGTGTCACACATGCTTCCTCTTCCCTACAGCTGATCCCTCCCTAACACTCATGGAAACAGCCTTCGGATCAACAGGGCCCAGATGTAGTCACAAGTCCATTGGCCTCTCTTAGTACACTGTTGATCCCATCCTTTTCTTACTTTGTTCCTCATTATGCCCTTTTGACCAGCTTTTCTAGTTCACAGGCCTCTTTTTTTCTCTCTCCCTCATTTCTTCCTAACTCTGGGCATTGACCAAACTCATAAATCTTTCATTCTTCATAAAATTTTGACTGGAGAAGCATAAGAATCTTGAATGTCTCCTTCTAGGTTCATCCTCCCCTGAACATGTTTGAGTATTCATAGTAAACAAAAACACCAAACCCATTGCCATCGAGTCGATTCCGACTCATAGCAAACCCCACTGGGTTTCTGAGGCAGTAAATCTTTACAGAAGTAGAATGCCCACTCTTGCTTCCACGGAGTGTCTGGTGGGTTTGAACCACCAGCCTTCTGGTTAGCAGTCAGTTGCCTTCGTCACTCAATAATATTGTTGACTGACTGACTAACTGATGGAATGAATGAATGCAATTGTTTAAAAAATATTATCTTTGTAGGCCCTATGCCCATATTGATGGCTCTCAAACTGTGGCATGTATACTATGGGTAATGAAAAACATTCTCCAGGTTCTAGGCAGTCCACAGCCGGTAATAACCGTACAGACATAGAAACTATTTGCATGTCTGGTGCACAATAGAAACTCATTAAATATTTTTCGAATGAATGAATGAAATTTTTAGTCTGTGCATGGAAAAGAAGAGTTGTTGCTATTGTAGAGTTGGTTCCAACTCATAGCAACATTATGGACAACAGAAGAAAACACTGCCTGGTCCTGTGCCATTCTCACAATCTCTATCTTGGAGCTCATTGTAATAGCTACTGTGTCAATCCATCTCCTTGAAGGCCTTCACCTTTTCTGTTGACCTTCTGCTTTACAAACATGATGCCCTTCTTCAGGGACTGGTCCCTCCTGGTAACATGTTCAAAGCACGTGAGATGAAGTCTCATCATCCTTGCTTCTAAGGAGGATTCTTGCTATATTCCTTCCAAGACAGGTTTGTTTGTTCTTCTGGCAGTCCATAGTATATTCAATATTCTTTGCGAACATCATAATTCAAAGGCACCAATTCTTCTTCAGTCTTCCTTATTCATTGTCCAGCTTTTGCATGCATATGAGACAAGTGAAAATATCACGGCTTGGGTCAGGTTCACATTAGTCCTCAAAGTGACATCTTTGCTTCTTTAACACCTTAAAGAGGTCTTTTGCAGCAGATGTGCACAATGCAATACATCTTGTAATTTCTTGACAGTTGATTCCATGGGCATTGATTGTGGATCCAAGTAAAATGAAATCCTTGGCAACATCATCAGTATTTTCTCTGCTAATCAAGATGTTGCTTATTGGTCTTGTTGTGAGGACTTTTGTTTTATGTTGAGGTATAATCCATACTGAACTCTTTGATCTTTATCAGTAAGTGCTTCAAGTCTTTCTTGGCTTTCAGCAAATAAAGTTGTAGAGGTGGTTTTTACTTCCAGAACACAAATACCTAGAATACCCTTGTTTTCCTCTTTCTTCACTTGGGAAAGTCCTGGCCTCGAATTAATCACTTCTCTTGTCCTTCTAAGTTGATCATTTAGATTATATGATCATGTTGTAATATAGCTACTTACAAATCTGCATTCCCAGGCACTCAGATGATAGAGTTTCTCAAGGAAAAGGATAGCATTGCATTATCTTTACATACGTGATACCTGGCCTGGTGCTTAGCACTTGTTGGCGTAAACATATAAGTATCAAATGAAACACATTCAACATCTGGAGCATATTTGAAAGTATCTTGGAATCTTAGAGAAATATGTATGAATAACATCATGATGCAAAAATTGTATCTAATAATGTTTCTTACTGAGGAAAAGGCACTATCACCACTCGTTTCTTTCTACCAAAGTGAAAAAAAAATGGAGTCTGATGGCTATTAGTGAGTAAATAGAAGCTAGCAGAAAATGTCACATTTCAAAATAAAAATGTTCATGTCAACTCAGTTTATAATATGCAGCCATAATATTTTTTAACACATTGAACCTAGCATTATGTAATAAATTCCTTCATATCTCAACCAGTTGTTGTTGTTGTTGTTATGTGCCGTCGAGTCGGCCCCAACTCATAGCGACCCCTCCTTGGGTTTCCGAGGCAGTATCACTACGGAAGTAGGATTGCCCAACCTTCCTTCCAAGGAGTGGCTGGTGGGTTTGAACCGCCAGCCTTCTGGTTAGCAGTCAAGTGCTTTAGCCACTATGCTACCAGAGTAAAAGAGGGAAAAAATAAATACTTTACTACAAAGAATTGGCAAAAATACTAGAGAATGGTCTTTATATTTCTATAGGGAGTTCTGACGGTGTAGTGCCTAAGGCATTTAAGCTCTATCCAATTACATAAACCAAAAACAAACCAAACTCACTGCCAACAAGTCGAGTCTGACTCATAGCAA